CTCACATGGACTCCAGAGGAAAAGAGAAAACAGAGGCACCCAAAAACAACATTGAGACGAACGATGAAAAGTGACCTGAGTGCGGCATCTTTAACATGGAAAACTGCACTGAAGATTGCACAGGACAGGAAAGCATGGAAAGTCCTCTCTGAAGCCTCATGTGCCACTAGGCACAACAAGAACTGATGATGATGATGACTGTTGAGGATATCTCTCCTTTCCACAGTCAAAGGTGAAATATTCTCCACTTCAATCAGTATGTCTATAATTCTTCTACAGCTACTCTTTTCATAATATTCTCCAATCTTCTCTTTTTATTACGTTACCAAAGAATACTGTTTGTCAATTTCTTAAAAGTGTATATAACGTTTTACATTTGTGTGCATTTCTTTCAGAATCACTGCTAATAAGTCTGGCTGTGTAAGGTATCTGAAGCATTTGTCTCAGAAGCAGCCTTTCTAATGTCTCTAAGTTAATCACAATGTGCTTGTTCTGTGGAGAACTTGATATCATTACACAGCACTAGAGAAGAACTTGGCATCACTACACTGTATCAGATGAGAACTGGATTTCACTACATAGAACTAGATGAGAACTGGATCTCTATGCGGAACTAGATAAAAACTGGATATCATTACATGGAACTAGAGTAGGCCTGGTTATCATTACAAGGAACTAGAGGAAAACTGGGTTTTGTTACATGGAAGAAGAGAACTGTGTATTATTGCATGTAACTAGATGAGAACTTATCCCTATATTAATAGATGAGAAATGGGTATCACTACATGTAAACAGATGAGAACTGGACAAAAAAACATTACATGGAACTAGATGAGAACTGGATGAACATCACTACATGTAAATAGATGAGAACTGGTTGAATATCACTACATGGAACTAGATAAGAACTGGAATAATATCACTATATGGAATTAGATGAGAACTGGATATCGCTATGTGGAACTAAATAAGAACTCAATATCACTACAGGGAACTAGAGAAGAACTCGATATCACTACATGGAACAGAAGATGAACTGGTTATCACTATATGTAACTAGAGGAGAACTGGATACTGCGGCACAGAACTTAAGGGGAACTGGATATAACTGCAAGGAACAAGAGGCGAACTGGATATCACACACAAAACTAGAGATGACCTGGTTATCACCACATGAGACTAGAAGAATTGGGTATCATTACATGGAACTAGAGAAGAACCAGATATTACTATATGAAACTATAGGAGAACTGGATATCACTACACTGAACTAAAGTAAACTGGATATCACTACATGGAACTAGAGGAGAAGTAAGTATTGTTACATGCAACTAGAGAAGAACTGTGTATCATTTCATGGGAATAGATGAGAACTGGATATCACATCTTGGCATTAGATGAGAAATGGATATCACGAAAGGAAAAGTCGATATAATTACTTAGCACTAGAAAAGCAATCAATCACTACTGGGAATCACTATGGGAAACTAGAGGGGAACAGGGAATCACTATGGGAAACTAGAGGGGAACTGTCTATCACTATGGGAAACTAGTATCACTATGAGAAACAAGAGGGGAGCTGTGTATCACTATGGGAAACTAGAGGGGAACAGGGAATCACTATGGGGAACTGTCTATCACTATGGGAAACTAGAGGGGAACTGGGTATCACTATGGAAAACTAGTATCACTATGAGAAACAAGAGGGGAGCTGTGTATCACTATGGGAAACTAGAGGGGAACTGGGTATCACTATGGGAAACTAGAGGGGAACTGGGTATCACCATGGGAAACTAGAGGGGAACTGGGTATCACTATGGGAAACTAGAGGGCAACTGGGTATCACTATGGGAAAGAAGGGGAGCTGGGTATCACTATGGGAAAGAAGGGGAGCTGGGTATCAATATGGGAAATTAGAGGGGAACTGGCTATCACTATGGGAAATGAGAGGAACTGGCTATCACTATGGGAAATGAGGGGAACTGGCTATCACTATGAGAAACTAGAGGGGAACTGGGTATCACTATGGGAAACTAGAGGGGAACTGGGTATCACTATGGGAAACTAGAGAGGAACTGGGTATCACTATGAGAAACTAGAGGGGAACTTGGTGTCACTATGGGAAACTAGAGGGGAACTTGGTGTCACTATGGGAAACTAGAGGGGAGCTGGGTATCCCTATGGGAAACTAGAGGGGAACTGGGTATCACTATGGGAAACTAGAGAGGAACTGGGTATCACTATTGGAAACTAGAGGGGAACTGGATATCACTATGGGAAACTAGAGGGGAACTGGATATCACTATGGGAAACTAGAGGGGAACTGGGTATCACTATGGGAAACTAGAGGGGAACTGGCTATCACTATGGGAAACTAGAGGAGAACTGAGTACACTATGGGAAGCTAGAGGGGAACTGGCTATGACTATGGGAAAATAGAAAAGAACTGGGTATCACTATGGGAAACTAGAGGGGAGCTGGGTATCACTATGGAAAACTAGAGGGGAATGGTATCACTATGGGAAACTAGAGGGGAACTGGCTATCACTGTGGGGAAACTAGAAGGGAACTGGGTATTACTATGGGAAACTAGAGGGGAACTGAGTATCACTATGGGAAACTAGAGGGGAACTGAGTATCACTATGGGAAACTAGAGGGGAACTGGGTATCACTATGGGAAACTAGAGGGGAGCTGGCTATACTGTGGGGAAACTGGAGAGGAACTGGGTATCATTACATGCATTACATGTTGTGGTGACAGAAAACAAACACATTTTGTAAGTGAAAACTGTTTAAAGCACCTGGAGATTGGAAACAGTTAAATATGTTTTGTTTTTGAAATAGGTAGAAACAAATGATGATGAAAACAGTGAATATAAAACTATTAATGAAATGTGTTAGTGAAAAACAAACATAATTTGACTAAAAACATTTAATGCATGTTTTTTTTCGGACAACAGATACATATATTGTGACTGACGTATTTAATGCATTTTGTTTTACAAATAACAAGTAAATAAGTATTGTCATAGAAAATAACAAATAGTTATTGCATTGTTTTAACTGAAAAAGATAACATAAATTTGTTAGTGAAAACAGTCAATGCATTTAGTCAACAAAATGGGAAGCCATCTTCTGTTTTGATTTAGTCATCACAGGTAAACTGAAACTTCAAATCTTACACTGGCTCTTCCTGAAAACTAAGATTTTGAACATCAAGCTCTAATACTTAGTGAAAGAATATTACAATGTGAGACTGCTTCTCATACTCCAGTAGCATTATAAAGACAGTAATTTATAAAGCAGGTTCCAGAATCATTGGCAAACACTGTGTTGTGCGTTTAATCTTAACTAATTTTATGCCAGTAAAAATCCTGTTGGGTGGTGGCATTATGACCCTGTCACTATCATTATGAAATAAGAAGAGTTTTTTTCTAAACAGCACACATCCTGTGAGGTGGATGTCAAATTCCCAGAGTTTAAAGACCAGTTCAAAGTCTACAGGGGTGGTGTCTGTACCGAATATTTTCCACAAAGATCCATTCCTCTGTAAGATGTAGACATCCTCTCCATGTGTGAAACTCACCATGTCCTTGGATGTTCCGCTCATTGAAGTTTCACATTTATGAGTTTGCCTTGTTTCTGTATTATAGCATTCTGCAGTTGTGACATTATTTTGTGTGCCAAAAACTAGTATGTACTTATGGAATCTGATGAGGTAGTTTCCACAACTCTTTAGCTGGCCACATTTCAACCACTGCAAGGCTTGTCCCTGAGCACAGCAGAAAAGATCAAGTTTACGATCGTTGGTGCTGAGCCTACTGTCAAAACTGCAACAGTAGTAAATATTATTACCATGTGGTAGCAGTAAAATCACACTCTGTTGATGTATACTATTCACCTTATGCCACGTTTCCCTTCCTTCAAGAATATAGAAATGTTTTGTGTTACATTCGTTGTCGTTATTGAAAATGAAATATAAAATATTGCCAAAAACAACAATATTAGAATTATCAGACTCAAACTCCTCAGGCAGTTCATTAAGGAATATAAATTTGCCAGTATTCAAATCATAGACCCAAACTTCATCATCAGATAAAAACACCATGACATGTTTGAATTTACTGGAAGCCCTATAAACAGCTGCTTCAGGCCATGTATCATGACGTCGGCTGACATCCAAGGTATACATAAGAGCTTCCTGCATCAATGGATATGCTCCCGTATCCACCAATAGGTGAATATTGTTCTTCATTGTATTGTCAAGGAAGTCTGATTTTACTGTAAACAGTCTACAAGTACGCAAAAGTTTAATAAGATGCTGTTTTCGGTTTTCTATTTCTGTCTCATCTGTGGTAGCATTTTTGCTGACCTTACTGCACTGCACAGGTAATACAGCAGGTGTAGTGATGCTCTCTGCAGTTACTGTGATTTGTGAAAATATTGTTGTGCAGTCAACTATCACGTCACATGGTACAACTGGCTTACTATCATGTGAATCCTCACTTTTGGAATGGTCATCATTTGTATCATCAGAATTGTTTCCTTAAAGAAATGAAAAAAACAAACAATTATTTGGTCAATGAATCATTTTTGAAAAAAACACAAAGCAACAGTGTAGCAACAGAGAAGTATACTGCAGAACAGCAAGAAATTGAAAATAGCATCTGCCCTTATAAAAATGCTATTCAAGAAATACTGAATGAAAATGTTAATAGAAAAATATTAAAAAGAAGAAAATTGTGTACATATGTGTGTGTGTGTGTGTGTTTATATATACATGCAGGTATTTGCGCATCAGTGTGCAAAGGTATACAGAGATAGAGAGAGAGAGAGAGAGAGATAGAGAGAGAGAGAGAGAGAGAGAGAGAGAGAGAGAGAGAGAGAGAGAGAGAGAGAGAGAGGCAGAGAGAGAGAGTGTTGGGAAGGGAGAGGAAATACAGGCATGCATTTTAAAATTTAATGTTAAATAAATTTTTAAAAAACGTGCAAACTTTACCAGTATTCAGAGATGTAGTTTGTCTGGATGGTGGGGCATATTTTACCCAATTCAAGATGGTATCAACAACTATCTCTTCATGGTCGGCTGCTAAATCATCATCCGCAATTACTTTGTAAAACTGGTCAAAGGGTAAATGAAGAAGATTGTCTTCATCCTTGAATTGTTTAAAGTTTCTGGACATAAAATTCAGACAATGATCTACCACATCTTCTGCAGAATACAATTTTGCATGCTTGAAGTAAAGGAAATAATTGTCAACAGAAATGTTTTCCATAACAAACATATGACACTGTTGAATTAAGTAACCAATCTGCAGCATTTCTGAAGCTGCCCATACGCCTAAAACATTGTCGATGCTGAGTCCATCTATACCTTTATACACAGCATTGATGATTATATCAAATGTGCTAGAGGTCATCCCCTCAAGTTTAGCGCAACCTTCAGTTTGTTCCTTCATTGGCGACTTGAACAGGCCCTGGAAGAACCCGGAGCATGCACTGAGAATGAAGCGGTGACACTTGAATGAAGTATTCTCAACAATAACGATAAAGTCACTGTAATCATCGCCCTTCCACAGGTTTCCGACACACTTCTGTAGGCCGCAGGCTAGGGACTCTCTAAACGACATCGTTATTTGTTAGCTTATGAAGCTGAAAAAAGATAGAGAAAGCAGACAGAACTTTACATCACATCGCAGTAACTACTTAGAATACTATCAATAAAGAAGGAGAAGAGCACTGACATATTTTATAAAATCTGAAAACCTAACAAATATACTGCTTCAAAAACTTTATTTCAAAAAATACTAAGGCCATAAAAAATATAGCTGGTATTCAGAAAGACGATTACTAGAAAGTACGGTTATTGAGGGGATGTTATGTTATGTCATCACAGTCGACATCACTGCAAACTGGGCATTCCCATGCATGCTCAGTCCTCAGATGCAGCAACAAAACCAAGATACTATTAATTGATCACATAAGACGTTGGTTATAATGTCTCCTATGTTGGCCTCAAAGGCGGCATAGGCGTGCTTCATCATGCTTTACTTCCATGTCATGCAATCGTGTTAGTGTCAGAGATTCGTCATTTTCCACTAACCCAGTCCGTAAAGTGTTGACAATATCTGCTCTGTCCATGCTTTTTCCCATATGTATAGGTGCATTTCTTGCAAGTTGGTCTACTCGCTCATTATCCTTTACCTCCGCATGACCAGGTGTGTAGATCCAGGTCAGGGAGGTTAAGTGCGATTTTTCAATGCTTTCTACCCTTTCAGAGCGCATACTGCCTGTTGCTATTTTCTGAAGCATGTTCACGGAGTCTGACAAAATTACTGTCTGTGAGGCTGTTTGCTTGGCTATCCATGCTAGTGCTCCCGAAGCAATCTCCATGGTCATGCTTGAGGTGGTAGCTGGTAAGCGTCGCTGTCCTCTTGTATTGTTTTCCACATTTTATATGCTGTGTCTGCCCACGATGATCTTGATCCGCGCTTCACAGATCCATCTGTGTAGTTGATGGTATCTTCTGGGTGCGAATGCTGATCTATCAGTGACCTTACCTCTGGGTCTACGGCCACATGAATCTGATCCCTGCAGTATCTTTCGAGTGTGATAACAACTTTAGAGATGCTGCACATGTATACTGGTGTATTCGTTCATTCTTTTGTATGCCTGATCTCGTCTAGGTCACATATCTGCTGAATTAAATCTTCAACCATGGCCATCAAGGCGTGGCCTCTTTTGAGATGCATTGCTTCTGTGTTGTGTATAGCTTTGTGCAGTGGGAGGTTAACATCTACTAATATAATCATGTATGCCTTGACTTGTGCAACTATGTGTCTGTTAGCAATCGTCGGCAAACCCAGGACATACTGCATGGTGTTGCAGAAGGTGTCTTTTCTGTAGTCGAGTATGAGTCTCATAGCCTCATTTTGTACTCGGTCCAGTCTTTCTAACTGGGTTTTGCTGACCATGAGTAGGCCATATTGGGGGAAGAAGCAGGGTATGACCAGAATTAAAGTGGACACACGACATCAGAGGCACCATGTGCATCAAAGGACATGAACTTAGGAAACGTATGGCATGAAATGTCTTGACCAATGTTTTTTGCAAGGACCTGCTACATGGCTTGGCAGCCTGATAAGGAAGCAGGGGTAGCAACTGCCAAAGTCATCTATGCGAAGGACACATTTAAAAAAAAAATTTTGTTTAATCACATACAGCAAACAGGGAATCATGGTATTCAAGAATACCCTAGATCAGGGCTATTCAACTGGTGGCTCTTGGAGCCCTAGCAAGGTGCCAACAGACCATGACCAGTTGTACTGTATTAATAATCCTTCTGGAGGCTGCATAGTCTCTAGGCATGGTGTCCACCTTGAGTGCTGAAGGTCTCGGGTTCATGAACTGGTGGAGGCTGAGATTTTTTTCACTTGGACTTCCAGTAATTTGCCCCGGTCTGTGGGCAGTAAGATCGGACGCCCGTATGTATTTTTCTTTTTTGTGCATGTAGAAAATCCCTTGGCAGTTTAAAATTTAAAAAAAAAGAGTAGCCTAACGGCGCTGCCCGGAAAAAATTTTCAGTTTAAAATCTACCCAAAGAATTTCAGGATTCTCGCCGGTGAAAGGGAGTTCATGCACTGCACTAAGAACTTTGGGGACTCAGGTTTGAGTTAGAATTAGAACGGAGCATTTATGAGTTACTACCCTTGCGCCATGATGGTGATCCGTTGTTTAAACATAAACCTAATAATCTTTCTAAATATATATATATATATATATATATATATATATATATATATATATATATATATATATTCAATTTTATTATTGAATACTTATGTTATTTTTGATTATTAAATATTGCATGGTTTATGCATTAAATGTATTGTTAAATTTTTTTTTAATTTGAGAGCTGTTTTAATAAATATGGTAACTATATTGTGTAATCTATCTTTGCAATTATTTTGAGTAATCTGGGATACCCCAATTCGAAGCCCCACCCTGGCTTTTGTGAGGATATGGCCTAAAGGCTGAATGGGGTTTCTGGGACCTCTCCACGGGTGATCCTCATTCGCATGGTGGCACTTTGTGTCAGCGGGTGTTTATTAGTTGAGTGATGTCCTGGTGGGGCACACCTATCTATCTACCCACCTACCTACCTACCTACCTACCATACCCCTATTCTGTCTTAAGATATTAACATCTCATATGCAGACTTGTTTGTTTTTGATGTGCTGTTTAATTCCTCTCTGCAGCTATCTATCCCAAGAATGTTTTCAATCATAAGCTTGTTGCAGTGGGTCATATCTTCATGAACCATTTGGAGTTCATTTTTTTGGCAAACTATGAAATAGTGTTCAATAATATTCTGTTTGTGACATTCCAAACAGGTGTCTTACATTACACTATTAAAAAAAGCCACTCTGAGCTGTAAGCTAGTAAGTAGTTTGCAGGGTACTTTCAGTTTATTCCAGTTATTTGACACTTTAAAGTTGGAGCTTCCAATACTGTGCATGCTTTCTTTCAGCATCCCTGCCCATTTTTCTGTTATTCTTTGTTTTATTATGATTTAAAATCATTCTTAACTCTTTAAGGCCCAAACAACGGTGTGAGCGTAGTTTGAGAAGTTCCGTTCTGCCCAAACAACGGTGTCATCGTTATTCGTGTTTCTCTTACATTTTGCTTCGCATGCGCGTTCGTACAGGTTTCTAATGTTTGGAGGTACGAATAACCTATTCAGGAAAAGTCAATCCTCTTAGTTTCATTTCTTGGACCAAACCACTTGGGCCAATAATTTGAGAGAAAAAAACATCAAAAATTTTTTAACAGTTTATTTTCTAGGTTTATTTTTGAGTGCACTGAATACCAATGTTCTAACCACAAGAACAGGTCGCAGAATGCGTCTTTCTGCGGCCGAAGCTCTGAAATTGTTTCAGTCAGATGTTTTTAATTGTGATAATGATAATAAAAATTTAGATTTTTCGGAAAGTGATTCGGACAGTGAATTTTCACCAGTGAAGCTGAGCGATCAGCTGTTGAAATCTAGCCATTCTGACGAGTTTATTACACAGACAATGTCCCATACTACCGTATTTATGGTGTAAGAGAAGGAAAGTGCTTTAAACAAAGAGATAGTACTAAACTATGGCTAAGCTACATTGAAATCATCGCAGCTACAGTCTGTAAATAACTGTACAAAGTGAATAGTAAATAGTGTGTGTGTTATGGCTCATTTTTCTGCCATTTTTTCTCTGAAATTTAGCTTAGCACTCGGTGGGAACTAAGAGCTCCTGAGTGAAAAACTAACCCAGAAAGTTATCATAACTTTAGAATATGTTAGGAAATTGAACAAACTTTGAAGTTTTGTTCTCAAATTTGGATATTTACTATTCTTGTGGCTGCAAAACCATGGTAAGTAAAGAATTTTTTTGTGAAATGTTGTCCTTGTGAAATTAATACCTGCTGAATTCTTTTCCACTAACTATAACAAAATCAAACAAACACTTATCATCAGATTCAGAATGTACACTCATTTCTCATTTAAAAAATATATACTGTTATAGGGATTAGAAGTATATTACAATCTCTACAGCCTTTCTTGTACACCCACCCCTCTGCCATTTTTGTAAAGGGAAATTAATGTGGGCCAAGTTTGTCAAAATTCATGGGCCTGAAAGAGTTAAAGCTACACATATTTTTTTAGTAACTGCTGTGCTTTTTATTGCTTCTTTGCCTGCCTTTTTCATTTCCTTTGAATCCCCTATTTGCTGTATCCAGATAATTAGTACTAAGCAACCTCTTCTTGTATTTAGATCATCTGTAGTCCCTTAATATATCAGCTAGTATGCAATTTCTTCTACATTCTGTATCTTGGTGTTGTAATACCTGCAGGCAGTGAGTTTGGTAAAAACAGTCAGATTTTGTGGAACAGTGGGGTATTATTTACAAGTTCTAGAGTCTTCAGAATAGCAACCATTTCTGCAGTAAATACTAGAATGTTGCTTGGCAAGCTGAGGTTTTGGATTTTCCATTTTGAGATGTATATTCCTAAAAATTTTAGTAAAATTAATGAACCTTTCAATCATTAACAACTGAGTAAAAAAAAAAAAAAACTAATAATAGCGTTTACTTCGATGGATGGTTGGCTTATTTTAACTTATGTGCATCTTATTAAGTATTAGCTGAACTATTGTGGATATTATTCACAATAAGGGCATAATTACTATTACGAATGTACCCTGGCTATAAATACTATAATGACAGAACGTACCACCCAGAAACACTTGAAAATGCAGATTCAGATCCAAACTTTGGCCTCTTTTCCTGTCAGCTTGTGATGTTTTCAATGAAGGTATGACTGAGTTCTGAGAAACACCAGCGAATTGAAATTGAAACATGCGTACGTTTGTTCCATTTTAAAACTGAAACCACATGACCAGTATGACTAACTGATGTTGAAGGTGATATCGTTCAGAAAAAAATTTAGTGACCTCCTAATCACTGTTCACTAGTGTTCACGCTGTCCCGCCTGCCTGACAACCAACTAACAGTGGTAAATTAAAAAGCTGCGGCGGAAAAAAAAGCACACATTCAACCTCACTGCATGTAAATTTCGTGAATACTCGGA